GTCCCCACATATTGACGTCCTGTGCCTGCAGGGTGTATAAAACACTAATGTTCTAAGGTACTGTTATCAAAATAGATAATTTGGCTTGGTAAAACTTCAAGCTTTGATTCAATTGTCTTTTCAAACTAATACCTCTTAATTATAGTCTTCTGCAGGCATTAGTTAAGATTAGTTAAGGTGTTTTTAGTTTGTCTTAAGTTTAATTACTTAATACCAATAACATTTACAGTGATTCTGACTATTAAGGAATAAACCTTAGTGTGTCAAAATGGTTAAAAAATAGCATGCCATTTACGTTGTGTATGCATTTTTTTTAGGTATTTAAGCACATTTTACAGGAATGCTATAAGGTCAACAAAGGCTTTTTAATTTTCACTTTTCGAGTTATGATTGTGTTGTTTATATTTATGATATGTCATAGATTTTGCAATCAAATTTGAGAATTTGGAAAATGTACATCTTGTATGGCATGCAGGGGTGTCCAATCTTGGTTCTTTAGGTCTGGTGTCCTGGAGAGTTTAGCTCCAACCCTAATCAAACACACCTGAATCAGCTAATCAAGCACTTTCTAGATATACTAGAAACTTCCTTGCAGGTGTGTTGAAGCAAGTTGGAGCTAAAATCTGCAGGACACCGGCCCTCCAGGATCAAGTTTGGACACCCCTGTTGCATGGTTTCTGTCTTTTGATTGTATGATGTAAAATGCTAAACGAGGAATGAGCAGGAGAATGACTGCTAATCAAATACAGCACCATTAAATATTAATGATTGTATAGTATACTATACGCTTCTTAATTGTCTGTGTATTCTTTTCTTAGTACCGAGTTTAGTGTTCGTCTTTTACTACAACATGTTCTATATATTATAATAGTTTAATTAAGTTCGTAGAGTCATGAAAACAAATCTTGTTAATTTATCTACATGTCTACTTCATGCATCACATTTAGCTAGTAGCTCAAAACACCCATCAGATTATTTATTACACCTTTTTAAATCTTGGAAGTTTGAGCTGTTGAGACATTGTAGCTGTTTTTGTTGCCTGTGCACATAATGCATATAAGCTAGTTTTCCCCACCCACCATTCCCATGTGCATGTCAAAGTCATGGCCTAAACATATATAAACAGCAGTGACAGACAAGAATGAAGCAGATCTCCCTAGTAAGAACTCTCTCAACTGCTATTTGATATAATCATTGTGGAGTTAGTAAAATTTTTGCAACGAGTCACACACAATGTCGTCATAAAGTTCCGCGCACATACACAGGGCTTAATTTGTGCCCGAAAACGCCGGATCCGGAACCTCTGAAATCTGATCTGGCACCTCTTTTTACCAATCCCCCTCCTCAACCATCTTCCTTCGCCGTCCGCTGTTCACTGTCACTTTTCCACGACTCCCCAAGCCTCTTCACTTTCGTCCGCGACACCCTTCCGCCATCCAACGCCCCGCACCTTAACCATGCCTACAATTAAGTCCTCGACAACCTAGTATCACTGAACCGTGATTGAAGCATATTCTTTTATAATAGTACTGTCACTATGTGGCTGTAGTGTTGAATTGTTTTCAATTTTAAAAATGCTTTAAACTTGTAAACGTTGTTCTTGATTACATTTGATGTACATTTGATTCGCTATACGAAAGTGTAGTGACAAATAAAGGCTTGATTGATTGATTGATTGATGATGAATGATGATTACAGACACCTGAACAGATCTTTTAATCCCAGTTGCTTTGTGCACGTCCTTACTAGTGGATATGATTATACGCGCTACTAATTTGATGGGCAGGGAAACCATACTTCTATGTCACATTGTGTTGGGCCTCAAAAAGTGAGTGATTTGGATTTTATTTTAAATACAGAAAAAAATATATATATTTTTATCACCCCAATATGACTGTGGACACACTATACCTGCACACAGTTCAGTACAAACAGCTTACAAAAGATGATTTTTATCATACTGTTGGTGCCCTTTAAAAATACAAAAAAAAGTAGTTTTTTTGCTAGGAATATTATTCCCTTACAAAAGGGGTAGTTCACACAAACTTTTACATTCTGTCATCATTTACATTTAGGCACATAGTGGTGTGTGGTGATATCATTTGATACTAAAAATGTTTGTTTGATATTAAAAACTTAGGAAAAAATTGAAAAAATCTGCAGTATTTTAATGTGATCTGTTCATGACAAATAATGTGGTGTTTTTATTTTTTTTTAGTAATTGCCGCTGTATAATGATCAATCACTATTGGTGTTATTAATAGTTTGTAATAACATCAAAGTTGAATAAAAATCCTGCTTTTAAACTTTTACGTTTTAGGATTTTGGATAAATAGAAAGTCCAAAATAAAATATCTGATAAAAACTACCAAAATATTTACATTATAATAAAATAGTACAAATGAATAAGAATCAGCTACTATTTGACCAAATTATAAAAGAGTTAAGTTTTCCAGTGGCATAATGTTGAGGAAAATCTTGCAAATAACCAAGCCAAAATCTTCTATATAGCTTTCTATTTCTTTGCGAACATCTGCAGTAATTTACAAGAGAAAGCCGTGCAGTGTTTAATCTGCCTTCGACAGTGACCAAGAACCCCAGTGTCACTCCAGCCTGACCTCCTGTCTGACACCAGCGCATAGCAAGTGTGTTGTAAGGTCAGAGGGCAAGGCCTTTAAAGGGGAATTAGTTTATTGACACAATCAGACTTGACAGTTTATTAGATAGCCTTTTGGCACATTGGCCCTTGGTCATTCTCTCATCTGTACAGCTCCTGAGCGGAACCTATAGGACTGATCTTATAACATCTCAATAAGAGCCCCGGACCAGTAGATTGAACTTTCACACTATCCATATATTCAGAGGTTGAAGGAGTAATACGGCTATGACAGATCTGTGCCACGTGTCAGATCCCATTTCATTCTCAACAGCTTCTTAACATGGCAACTTCTGTTTTCATAGAGCTGTAAAACACACCTCTGACATTTAAGGGTCAATTTGCTTTTGAGAGAGCTTGTTTGATGAAAGATAGATGGAGCTGAGTGATTCCATTGTTCCGGTAGCTGAAAAGGTAGTGCATAGTGCTAGCAATACTAATGTTGTGGGTTTGATTAGAAAACAATATTGATATATATTATTATAAACAGAAAACATATAACTGCATAAAGTAAGTTGAGTAAATGGTAAACATTATATTTAAAGCATTATCTTGCCCCATATACTTATATATCAATGGAAATGTCATACAAATGTAGACATCAAAAACATCTATTTTCATATTTGTTTAGTTATGACTGTATAAATTACAGTTTATACATATAAAATTATATAAAACTGCATTTATTACTCATTCATTCATTTTCTTTCCGGCTTAGTCCCTTTATTAATCCAGGGTCGCCACAGTGGAATGAACCGCCAACTTATCTAGCACGTTTTATGCAGCGGATGCCCTTCAGGCTGCAACCCCTCCCTGGGAAACATCCATACACACTCAAACACTTCAGACAATTTACTCACTATAAATAACTAGGGTTTTCCACTTCAGTCATTTTTGTCTTGAGGAATCCCTCCTTCCACCCCTACTATTCCCCTTCTACTAGGGTGGCAAGGTGGCCTAGTGGTTAGCACTGTTGCCTCACAGCAAGAACGCCACTGATTCAACCCCTCCTGGACCAGTCAGCGTTTCTGTGCAAAGTTTGCTTGTTCTCCCTGTACTCGTGTAGGTTTTCCCTGTGTTCCTCGGTTTCCTCCCACAATCCAAAGACATACATTATAGGTAAATGGACTAATCCAAAGTGGCATCATAAGACTAACTCTTAGCCAGCTATATCTCTCAGCTATTCCTAAAACGTTCACAAGCAGATGAGTTCTCAAGACCTACCTGAGCTCAAACTCCCCTCTCGCCCTTCAAAGGGGAGGGGGCCCTGGGCTGGAGGATACTCTGAGCTCAGAGCTCTCTCCCTAAACACCATGCCAAACACGCTTTATTATCAATCATCAGCTAAGTGTGAACTCTTAAAAACTGTAAATTTTAAAATCTAAAAAATATTTATTCAGATTTTTTACATATTTACAGTACATACACTGATTTGAAATTTTGTATTTAATTTACGTACATTTGAAAATCAACCCAGGCTCATTATGGATACGTACCCCTGTACACATTTCGGGTAACTGCGAAATATGTCCCAGGAGGAACATTTCTGCAGTTTTTGTTTTCACGAATCCACGAGAGGCCACTGTATATGCTTTTTGAGATCTCAAATTTCTCTTGTGAGTGGCATTTTAACCAGCTCTTCTTGTAAAAATCCACCAAAAGCCGCTGTCGACTGACTGACTGACTGACCGACCGACCGATAACCCCACCCACACCCTTCCCAAAACCCAACCGATAGTGTTGTTAAAAGCAATGCAGAAAAAGAAAAGCCACCTGATTTTTAGCACGTTTTCAGATCTCACCACGTTCTAACCATGTTATTTACTTGTTAATTATTTACTTGGCCTGCTTTCTGGAACTGTTCTTCGCCAGACTTAAACCCTGCAGTCGCAGTCAACTACGCTCTGCATTAAGTCCGCCAATGTAAGCAGCGAGCCACTGGGCAAACTGGTAACAGCGGAAAGCCATCCACACAGAGGTAAGTGGTCAGCTGGTTGCACGAAAAAAACAGAAGCCGTCGGTGGCGTCATGCTGTCCTGTAGTGTTTGTTTGAAAGATGAAATGTAGCCATACATACCACTGGCTCCATAATTTGTGTTCTCCAGAAATGTATACGGGGTACGTATTCACAATGAGCCTGTGTTGTTTAAAATAAAATTCATGTAATGTAAAAGTTAAATTACAGTATAAGCAGCCTAACTTTAAACATATTAATGCATCCTTCTTGAACAAACATATTCTTACTCTAAATCTTACTGACCAAACTTTGGCAACAATAGTGTAAATATAGTGTGTTTTATTTTGAGAAGGGTTTCAAAGACTAAGTACTGTGCTGGCCTCTAACCTGCTGCTCCAGGTTGTTGGGATCCAGGAAAGTGACCAGATCTAAAGAGATGTGGCCCATGATGGAGCGCTGCTGACAGGCCTGACCCACACGAGTGCAGACGGAGTGCAGGACTTCAGGGCAGATGGAGGTCTGTGGTACAGTGCAGCCCAACACCTCCAAGCCACTGGGCCCACGCAGCTGATCTCCACAGGACAGCATGAGCACATCTCCGCCCGGCTCCAACAGAAGATCCACCGTCAGACACGTCAAACTCTGTGAAGGAGGAAAGGCTTCTATCACTCCTCCTAAAGGAAGAAGATGAATATGAATAACGAAAGTGAGATAAAGTTTTGATGGTATTTTTTAGACATCATATTAACAAATAAACCAATGACTGCTGTTTGACATGTTATGTACTATAGGCATAGGTTCAGTTTTCCACTGCACGTTACACAGCTCTCTTCAGTTCAGTTTGCTTGGCTCAGTTTGCATTTCCACTGCAGTTTAGAATCGCTTGAAGTGGGTGAGATTATTGCTACAGTTGGGCCAACTTTGCTGGCATGACTTTCTGAAAAACTTTCAGGTCATCCGCTCATCTGCTACCAATCAGAGAAACCTTTTGTACTAACCACAATGCTGCCCTTTTAGCTTTAATTTTCTTACAATGGTATAAAATAGTTTGGAATTATTTACAAAGGCGGCAACATTAAACTCCAAAAATATAAAACTATTACATTTAAATGTATTTTAATTTATTGACCCAGATGATTTTGTTGTTTGGCTAAGCACCCATTTAAATTGATATTTTGACTTAAAAAAAATAGTTTAGTCATGCGAAAAACAGTACAGCAGTATTTATTTGGTGTCTTGTGTTGGAAATCTAATTGATTAATTGATTAATTAATCTAACACTGGTAGCAATGATGGTAGTGAAAATTCAAGTTTGGACTAATCAGTGATCAGCAGTTTAATACAGGTATAGCTTGCATGGAACCTCACCTGAGGTAAAAATGGGTGCTATTTATGGAATGCAGTAAAAAAAAGCAATCATTATACAGTTTTGAGTTGTGTTATTGGGCCTTGCTTTCTACTCTCAAAAGATTTGATGGTGCAGACTTCAACGTTTTGCATAGCCAGACCTCAGAATGACAAGTAAAGGTCTGGGAACTTTGGCTGCTTTTAATGGTCAAGAACTGCCCATGATGCTAGGTTAATCAACCATTAATGTTTCATTTTGTACCGGATCATGTTTAAGGGTATGAAAATATCTGCATGATCTACAGGCAGATATGCAATTAGGGCATCATTTACTCATGAATGCCTTAAAAAGTTTCAGTGGATTAATACCCTAACTGATCTGTTTTTTTTTTTTTTTTTTTGGTTTCGGTTCTTATTTCAGTTACTCTTTTCAACATAAAGATCATTCAGATTGAGGCTAAAGTACCCATTATTTTTCTTTGTTTTATAAAAGCAAATGGTTTTGTTGTATTTGTGAGTCAAAAGTAAACCTTTTATGGTTTTGAGTGATGTTTTCATCCTAGCAAGTAATTCTGAATAACTGATCAAAAGACAACATGTCCAACCACTGTCTGCATCTATTGTATTTTAGCCTGCATATGCAGTGATGTGAGGCGGCAAACATTTGAAATCTGGGTAGGGTTGCACCAGCTGTTCGTAAGTTCGTTCTTAAACTGGAACTTAAGGTCGACACTAGGGGCTTAATAATTACTAGCTAGTTTGTAACTAAATTTGTTCTCACTTCGGTTGCACCACATGTTCTTAAGGCAAACCGTAGTTAGTAGGTCATAACCTCTCAGTAAAGTCATATGTAGTCACGTGTAGTTGTATTGACGTAATATCCAATAAAAAGCTTTAAATCGTTAAACTGGTTTAAAATTCTGCAACTAATGCATCTATATACATCTATCCAATGAAAATTAAATTAAAAATCAAATTTTTATAGTACATTAAATTACAGTCAGTCACTAAAAGCAGACGACGCACACACCTGCATCACGAGCCGTGAATGCATGCAAAATACACATGAAGTTCTCAAAGATTAAACTTTATTTTATATTCTACACATGAAAGAGAAAAGAATGAAGAAATAAAGAAATTCTTGTTTTTAATGATGGATACAATTAACACAAAACACTCTTTAAAAACATAATGAAACTCTTCTTTCACAACCCGAAGAAAATGCGAGATTTGGAAGGAAAATAAGGACGTAAGTAGAGGGAGATCTTTCTGCATTATCATCACGAGCTACTTTATGTACACTAATCTCGCTGTCATAGCTTTTCTACCGTTATACAAGGAGGGATGCTGCTGTAAATATTGAGTTGGAATGTAGCGTAAAGTTTAAACTAAGTTTAGTGGTGCAACACTAAAATATTTAGTAGTGCGTAAATTGTAACTTTGTTTCCCTTTAAGTCACAGCTAGGCTACGTTTTAATTTAGGCACTGCTGGTGCAACCGGCTTCTGATCTTTAAAAAATCCTTAAATGATGACAAATTGTCAGCTAAATAGTTTGCCACACCAGTCAAACAAGTTAAAAGAACACTTTTATATTACCTTTAAATGCTTCAAGGACACACTTGGACATCCTTTAAACATATTATGATGTGAATCTCGGATAGTGACGAATGCTGTATTTACTATAACTCTATCAATGAGCATTGTCATTGATGTAAACATAACCGTTTTGTTAATTCAATCAACTGGTTAAGATGCTGCACATTTGATTGCTGGAAATCATGTTTAAAACAATTACAGGAAGACTTTAAATCTACTGAAGTGTTTTGACAAAAATGTGCACCATATGCATCAGACATTTAGCCACAGGTCCATGTGCTGTGTTTAGTATGATGTTTAGAGAAACATTAATGCTACACTATCACAAATTGATATTTATTGACACTTTTAGTACATTTGAAACAATATTTAAGAAATTATCTAAGGGCTCAGCAAAATTGAGTACACCCCATTATGAAAATGAATATTTTGATCAATTTCTCAGTGAATATATGCAATGTGTTTTGGTGCATTTAAACAAAACTGATTTATTAAACAGATATATTTATTAAAATAATATTTTATTCACCAAGCATATTCAGAAGTTGAAAGATAATACAATTAAATTCAACAAATTACAACCTACAAAATTTAAAATAAATATTTCAATTTTAGCTTCTCTTGATTTTTCCTCTTTTTAAAATTTGTATTTAATATTTTTCTAAAACATGGGTATACTAGTTTTTGGACTGTTATCTTAAGTTATTTTGTTAGATAAGCTCCAGATTTGGCTTCAGAACTGACTAATATGATGTTTATGCACAAATGCAAATATATTACTGTATAGCTTCCTATTAAAAATATGAATTTAGGAGAGAGATTTGTAAGGGATTTACTTATATATACTGAGCACGGTATTTATATGTTGAAATTAATCAGTTAAAAGTACTGCCTGCACGTTAACGGGTTTGGTACCATAATTTTTATGACCAATTTAGGCAATAAAACATTTTAAGCCATAAAAAAATTATTGCTTTGTAAACTTTTCAACATCTAAAGTTGGAGTGGGTCCTATAAAGCGACCCATTAATCACATGGGATTTGTTTTACATACACTTATTTCTTCCTTTACATTTAACCTTTCTATTATTTATTTATGTATTTATTTATTTGTTATTATTATTATTATTATTATTATTATTGTTATTATTATTATTATTATTATTATTATTTAGTGAGAGGATCTTTGCAAAATGTATTAAAACTACCTTCTTTGAGGAAGTGTTCAAAGAAGCAGGCCCATGTTTTGTAGCAGGATGTGTTTGCCAGCCTGGCGTAAGATGCCAAAAGATGAGGAACTTCCTCTAAAAACTTGATCATCACAGACTCCTGCAACAAAATGAAAAATAAAGCACAGTCAGCCATACTGCAAAAATTATTCAAGAAATCATTTGCTTTGAAGAAATCAGAAGCGTTGACCAGCCTCTTTGGCTGATGTAAATAAAAACATAAAGCTGCATAGAGCCCATACCCCTGATGAAGCAGTAACTACTGAAGTGTGTCTTAATTTGACAAGCCTTACAAAAGCACAGAAGGTGGTTGTGTATGGGGGTGGGTGAGGGTTTGATTGACAGCCTGCTGCCTCGCCATCACAGTAGTCTAATAGCTTTAACTGAAGGCAGTAGTAACTGCACCTGTCCCCAATACAGACTGACACACGCTGGCAGATAAATACCTATGCAAGCCAATCAATAAGCAGATCAATCGGGGTCTGTTCCTAATCAATACAGCCCTTGTTTCTGTAACTAGAAAACAGCATAATGGCTTTGACACTTAATTATGTGGTTAATTGCAATGTTTGACTTTTCGTGAATGCCTCTTAAAACCTGTTGGTTAGTACGAGAAAGAATTTCACCTTAAGGACCTCTCAAAAGTGAGATGAATGGACAGAGCTCTTACGGACTGACACGCCACAAGCGCATAAGTGCATAGTGTACGCATAGAAAGCAGATTCTGACTAAGCATAACACAAAAGGGTAAAAAATGTTTTTGGTGGTAAACTATTTAATAAAATATCTTTTTTATTGTAAGCGCATGAACCAAGTCAATAGGTCCTGTTTTACAACCTTGAGAAGTGGAGGTTGTGCTCTAGAACATTGTGTTTTAACTTCATAAAGTCTTTATCCTTTTCAAGCACATTTATAATGTTCAAACAAATGCAACCGCTGACATCACTGAGGAAGTTGTCTTAAAACGGGAAGACACAATGCTGTTGATATTCAAGTCATGAAACAGCCATCATCATATTCAAGTACCAGAAGAGCCAGGGTCAATCGCTGCGCAGTGATTTCACCCCCGACACAAGCCATAAAGCACACAATGGTGCGGCAAAAAATGTAAGGAAACGGCCTTCGTTCCCCGCGAAAGAGCAGGCGCGCTCGGAGAATTTGCCCATGCACTTCACACGAACAGCAGGGAGGGAAGGAAAGCGAGAGGGAATCATTTTTGCCATTCTTTATTTGGACTTAAACTGAGAGCTGTACTGTGAGAGAGGATTCGGGCCTTGCTTGGCTTCCACATAAAGATGAGCTATTTGAAAATAGATAAATAAAACAGACATCTCCTGCGTGCTTTGATTGCTGTTTGATCTTGACATTAGGAGAAGCGACACTGAGCTTGTGAGCATATTCAACAGCACCACCTCCAAAAACAGAAGCTCTTTCCAAGCTTTCCTTAGGGGACAGTTCACTTCCAAACAAATATTCTGCCTTTCTTTGTGTCTTCAAGGGCACTTATATTACCTCTTTTTCAAGATTTAAGAGTTGTGTCACCAGAATGTGCCTGTAAAGTTTCAGCTCAAAAGATTATTTATTATATCTTACAGAATATTGGAATTTTATGCTCTGAACACAATGTAGATGTTTTTGTTGCCTGTGCCTTAACTGCTAGTTCTGCCCGTCTACCATTTCCATGTGGGTCACCTTGGCTGTGTCAGATAAACAGCACAGTGACAGACATGAAGGAAGCAGATCTTACGTAACGTTTGTGAGAAATACTACTGTAAAAACTTTCCCAATCATTATTATTTGATGTATTTGTTGTGGAGTTAATGAGTCACACACAATGTCGCTCATGCACATACACACAGACCTACACACACAGCGGACACACACAGTATGCGTGTTTAACTTTGCATGGCAAATGTGACATACACTGCTGTATGGACATCCGTTATGGTAATGAACAAAAAAAAAAAAACTAATTTAACATCCACAAACCAGGATTGAAGCATCTTTTTCTATAAATGTACCAACATGGTCAAAATCGCTGTAATTCATTACAAATATGTTTTAAAAACACTTTAAACTTGTAGAACTCATTCTTGATTAAATTTGATGGTGACTGATGATCACAGAGAGCTGAACAGATCTTTTATTTCCAGTTGCTTTGTGCACGTCCTGTCTTGTTGATATGATTATACACGTTACAGCGTAGACATTAATACATGGCTGTAAATCAATTTGGTGGGTGGGGAAACCTACATCACATTGCGGTAGGGCTCAACATGGGATTTGGATCCTATTTCAGGATATGTCAGAAAATTAAAAAAAGAGACTTATTGTCTTTACATCACTCCAATATGACCGTGAACACACTATACCCAGACACAGTTCTGTCCAAACAGCTTACAAAAGATGATTTTCATCATAGGTGCCCCTTAACAAACCAGTCTTTGCTTTGTGGAACACAAAAGTATGCATGAAAAATGTCAGTTAAATTTTTTTCGTTTTTTATTCAAGTCCTATTTTAAACCCCATTAACTTTCATTATTTTGACAGGTGAAACATTTTGTTAAAAATCAAAAGCAAGGCCCAATCCCAATTCTACCCCTTAGCCTTTCCCCTTACCCCTACCCCTCGTTTTGTGCGTGCACGCCAAGGGGTAGGGGTGTCCCAAATCTCTTTAGCTTTAAGGCATTAGGCGGTAAGGGGAAGGGGTGAATAACCTTTCGAATGAAAATGTTTAGAACCACTCTAAACAAGGGGTAAGAAAATTTCCCACACCTGCCACAACGGCAGTATTGCTGAACCTGGAAGTAAGGAGATCCACAAATTAGTATTTTTTGTCATTATTACAAATTTTTTACGACAAACAAACACGTTTTAATATATTCATAACCGCATTCATGTTTTACCATCATGCTTTTAAGAAAAACACTAAATTTCGCAATTTATAACCCCTATTAACAACTCCTGTACAGCAGTCTCACAACATTCTGACACTCGAATAGCCTGTCAGTAATGTCTAGAGGCTGGGAATGAGCTTTTTACAGTGTCTGCTATAATGTTAATGTTGTTTTTGGTGTGTTTACATTGATGAATATGGCCACTGTGTAAATACACAGTACAGTTACGATTTTGGGATTCTGCCCAAATATCATTTATCATCCTACAATCTTAAGTATTAGATTTTTTCCATGTAATGCACATCTGTCAGGTCTAATGTTGTTTGAACCCCATTAACTTTCATTTAATAATCCAAAACAGGTTAAACATTTTTATAATTTTACAAATTATTCATAGATTCTTGAGAATATTATTACTTCTTCAAACAATCTTTATAACATTACAAAACCTTCTTGGATCTGTGAAACAAATATTTTTGTGTCTATAGTTTAGATCTAAATAATATGTTAGTTGTTTTGCCTATTCAATAAGTCAGGCAAGTACAGTATTGTTTTCTACTTTCATTATTTACTATGAAATCAATATATGAAAATTACATAGAAGTCTTTGTTCTATGAAACTAAATTCTAAACAGAATTTTAGTCAAGTCGAATATCCACACTAACTTTCATTCTATTACAAAGCAGCTTTTGTTATGTGGTACATAAAAAAGTTTATCTTAAAAAGTGTTTACATTTTAATTTACACTATAAAAGCCAATACTGTTGGAATAATTAATCATTTCCATGCGTGTTTAATAAAAAGTTCAGGAGAAGATTTTCTTCAATGTCAAAAACATTAGTAATTTATGGGATACATTGAATAATTTGATTCACAGAATTCTGGTATTCTCAACGCAATGCAAGAATTACATTCAGGAGGTGCACAACCACTTTCATTTCCTGACTTCAACTTTTATAGGCAGCTGATATTAACAGTTGGAGTTTAGTGAAAATCGTCACTTGTCAATCATTCTCAAGTCCTCCATTGGTCGCACCCATACATACAGTACGTCCTCTTTTTCTACGAATTCTCTGCACAGCATTAAAAGCATAATACTTTCTCTACTGCACATATTCTGTGTTCAGTTTCAAAACATCTCTGCTAACAGGAAGTTTAGCTACAAAGCTCAAATTAATTTAAGACAACCAGGCCTTTGCATTTCTATCAGCTTCATCTACTTCTGCAAAAATGCTTCATTAGTATGAAAAGCATATCACACTCAACAGAAGAAGTTCAGTTAATATATTACCTATAAGCAATACAAATACAATTGTTTAATGAAAAGAAAAAGAGACAAAAATAATAAAAAATATATAAAACATAAGCTGGATAAGTTGGTTATTCATTCTGCTGTGGCAACCCCAGATTAATAAAGGGACTAAGCCAAAAAGAAAATGAATGAATAAATGTTCCATTTCACAACAATACTACTGTAGGTCTATACCAGAGATGGCCAAAGTAGAGCCTGCAGGCCAAAGTTGGACCAGGCCAACCCTTGATTTGAAACACCATCCCATCTGAGAAGAGAAGATGAATTATGGAGCGAATATCTAAAACAGAGATTGTCATTTCAAATTTAATGTAATGTTTTGCTTTTTTTGTAATTTCTTTAGTTTTGAAAATGAATCTGAAAGACGGATAGAGGACAATGGCGGTTGCAGTTTAGAGTATTCAGCATTAAACTCCATTGTGGTATTAATAGAATTGTTGAGGTTTTTAACTGTAATAAATTCATTATATATATATATATATATATATATATATATATATATATATATATATATATATTATTTTTTTTTTATGTACTGCATTAGTTAATATATTTAAAAGCATTGTTTTCTAGTTATTTTAACATTTTAGGAAATAAATTAGGAATTTATTCATGGTCATTTTTATGTAATAGAGTTTGGTATATTTACCTTCGGCCCACAGCCCGCAGTCAAGTTTGGTTTTTGGCCCATCATAACAAAAAGTTTAAGCACCCCTGGTCTATACTATGAAAATCAGTGAGGTCTTTTTTCAAATGCTGATTCATTAACTTTCATTATTTGAACAGAAACCGATGAAAGATTATTTAAAATATATGTTTTGTTTGTGCATTTTCATTTCAGATATAACTTTCCGATAGGCCATTTTTCGATGTAAACAAAAACAATGGTC